ATCTTGGCATTGTCTATTAGGCGTCCGATTGCTGCTTCAATTCTGCCAAGTGGTGCGGGCGGGATTTTGCTAGGCAGTTTGTCTTGCTTTTAGTGATTAATATTTCGTATTTTCTGAGATGATAATGAGTGTCTGTTAGCATCAACTTCATCATTCGTCTGTCAAACTGTCTCGCAAGGGCCCAGGCCTGCTGGTGGCCTAGTGCCGGTCTGTGATTTGTACTGGGTGGAAGCACGTTCCTACGTAGGCATTCATGGAGGAAGCATACTTGTTCGCGTGTACAAACTTGTCGGCAGGCGAAGTTGTCCCAGCGACGAGCTTCTTTAAGCGTTGTGCGCTTGAATAGGTTCGCTATATAGGAGAACGTTGGTAGCTCAGGTAGCATAGATGGTCGTTGATTGGGCAATTTGATTGCAGACGTTTCATCACCAATCGAGGTGGCATCATCAGTGCGTTGTTAGGGTGTTTGGTGGAGCGTAGCGATGGCTCGGTGGTTGTGCTTTGAGTGGTGTTGTGTGTGTGTTAATATACATGCTGCCAGCCAGGGTTGACCTTCGATCACGGTTGGTTGTTCGGTAGGTCGTTTTGAGAGCCAACGCATCCGAGAACAGCCGTTAATAGGCACGTGAAACTCACATGGAAAGCTAAGACTGCATTTTCGGACTGATAAATTGCTGGGTGCCAGTTCTCTATTGTCTGTCCTCAGTTCTCCAGCAGCAAAAAGGAGGAACTTGAAACAGTGAGAGCTCACGACCCCAAGAAGATTCTCCAAGCGCAGTTTTAACTGTATAGGCGCCTTCCATAGGTAAGTGGATACAAGTTGGTAGATATAAGCTACCAATCTGGATACCATTCTGAAGAAACCGTGGCTTTTCGTGATGTGGCGGCTCAGGTTCTTCAGCGATACATTCAACTTTACTAGGGAATGTCTATTTGGCATTCATAGATTCTGTCCTACTAGTTGGGTCAATAACATCTTTACAGAAGCCAAATGTTTGAGCAGCGCCATACACATCACCAACCGTTAATCTCGGGCTTTCAACGTCTTCACAGGAGCCTTTGACTCAGTACATCGGATAGACAGTCGGACAAAGAGTAACACCCCACATTATCTACCCCTACACAGTTGGTTCGTAGGGGTTTACAAAAAACTGTCGAAAAGTTCGCCTATGGGTGATGAGATGGATAGGTCTACTCTGTTCAGTTATGTCACTGATATAACAATGGAACGCCCATTTCAATGGATTGAGCATTTTGGTATCGAAAGTATAAGGACTAGTGGCTTTGGACTATATGGACGATATTGTCTTGATGTAAGAAGACCACCAATCAGCGCATTTTACTCTAAGTGTGATTCCTGATGTAAAACCTTGTTTCGGTTACCCTTCTGAACCCTCAAAGTGCGAAGTGTAGGTTCAGAATTGATTTCAAGTTACCCACTGAATCTTCAGATAGAATGCATTGACCGATTTGCATATCTGGGCAGCTTCATTAACACTGACTGTACCGTGACAGAAAAAGCTATTGTATGCTTTTTAAAGGCCCGAGAAACGTTTGTAAATTTTCGTCGCTCATGGAATCGGAAAAGAAGTTCACTGGTCATGTATACAAAGCAGCTGGAACAGCAGATTATTTGTGGAACTGGCATTCTGCAATCCACGAACCTTGAATGGGTCCAAATTTTGGTCATCGGTGTCTTTGAATTAGATGGCCACATTGTGTTTTGAATAAAATGATGCTCAACGGATTGTTTGGTGATGAATCAGAACCATTAGACCAGAAAGTAAAGCTAACCAGATCAGGTTGAGTACGCGTGACGAACTACCGTTTACCAAAGGATGCACTGTTTCATTCCCGAACTCTCTTTGAAGAAAGGTGGTGACTTAGCAGAAGAAAATGGAGACGGCAATTGTCAACCTCAGTACTTTTAAACCTCTATGTCTTTCTGGCTGTTATCCACCCTGCATGTGGTTAGAAACCGTCAATGACATGTCCTCTGAGTGGTCTCACTCGCAGGCATGCTGTCAAGTCCTAGTCGGATTGAATAGCTTAAGTTTTTCTGATGATGTATGAAGGCCTCATTCCAAGTAATACTTGCAAAGGATGTAAAGGCAATCCCACTGATGATTTCCCACTTAGTTGTAGTGCTCAAATGCATTTACTCTCTCCCAGCGACGAGCTTATTTGAGCGTAGTGCGCCCGAATTGGTTTGCCATAGAGGGGAATGTTGGTAGCTCAGGTAGCATAGATGGTCGTTGGTTTGTTCGCTGAATTGAGCAATCCAAATGCAAACGTTCCATCACCAATCGAGTTGATGGAGTGTGTGGTGGGGCGTAGCGATGGCTCGGTGGTTGTGCTTTGAGTGGTGTTGTGTGTGTGTTAGTATACATGCTGCTAGCCGGGGTTGACCTTCGATCACGGTTGGTTGTTCGGTCGGTGATGATTTCTGACTTCGATGTAACGCTCAAATGCATGTACTCTCTTGCTTTTCCAAAATGTCGATTCCATGTTCTTGGCCGCTTTCCACGGGAACGTTGGTCTGCTATTAGCGGTTTGGCGGAGATTCCTCCTTGGAATTGAAGCCAGTTTGTGCCAAATAGCTGAGAATTACTATACATCTGTTTCATCCCTATCATAAACCATCGGCAGTGCGCATCTCAAGGATCTACAGAGAGATTAAATATGTCGCTTTCCCCGATTAGTAGCTGAAGGCTCAGCAGTTTGGGCACGAGCTGTGGAGGAGTAGTGTTATCAACTGGCACTTGGGCAAATTATAGTGTCGATCAAACTTCAGTGCCCGAACCAACATCACATATTCCGTACCTGCGCAAGTGAAGATATCTCAGCTGAAAAGTTAACACGGTTTGTGTATTTTTATCTCCAATGTGCTACCTACAGTTTGACAATTCTACTGATCTACCATTTTTATTCCACGCTTTATGGGAACATTCTTTTCATGGCTGTATATGTGGTGTACACATGGTTGAACTGATGCAGCACACAATGAAAAAGCACTTGGCTTAAGAACGACCGCCTATTGCTGCCGAAAGGCAGCAATGGAATTTGAGAGCAGTGATCCAGTGATTCTTGTTCGCAGTGGTTCTTGGGCTGGACTAACTCACCTTGAACAAGGCGGTTTAACGTGGAAATGGCAGTTCTTTTGGAACGTAGAAAAAGAGGGCCAAAATAAGACATACAGCCACCTTAGAAACGTTCTTCCTTGTACAAAAGATAAAGATATAGACTGTGACCATTCCTGCTGGTAATGAGTTTATGGTCCCTCATCCAATGCCAAAAGTCTTTTGGTGAAAAAATGAGCGAATTCAAAATTCGTAAGCTGAACCTGTTGAAAAAATGGGCATTTGTTTTGTATTCAACAGAGACGTTCGAGTGAAAGACTGCAATTTTTTGTTCAGTTACGTCCCTTCACCGTGCTGAAACAGAGCTTTTTCTAAGCAGGACCTTGAGCCAATTTTTACCTACTTCAGTGACAATTTCTGCAAACCCAAGGCTTGAGCTAAATCCTTGTAAAACGTTTGTTTACTCTGAGATGTGACTTCAGATGGCATCTCATGCATATGTAGCTACGGTTGCGACCCATGGAGCTGTTGTGCTGTGTCTGTGGACTCTTTACTTCCTTAGGCGACACGTAGGCAGACAGAAAATGCCCAATTTTCTGAGGTTTCAAAGAGGACTACTACATCAGGTGAAACACGAACAATGCAAGACCAGCTCAACTGCTGTAGTCGTTTGGAGAGGATGGTCCGCATCAAAGCACCTGAGGTCAGCAGAAATTTAGCTCAGCCGAAATGCTGTTACTTAGACGGTTTCCAGATGAATATTCTGTTAGGCTAGAGGCTGACACTAAGCTCCACATTTCATTCAGCATAAACGGATTGTCTTATCATCCATACATAGAATTGTTTTGTTTGGCTACTGCTGACTGAATGTGAGGGGCATTGCGTCAATATTGGGACGCAACGGTTCTACAATGAGATTGTCAGTATAATTCCGCTTATGGGAATCTGAAAGAATGTTTGAGCACATGAGGTCATGTGCCCGAAATGGGCACGTAAAACGTGTAATCAGCGTGACTGCAGCGCAAATGATTTAAACAAAACACAAGATCATTTCGGCTTAATCATTCAGTATGATGCATCGTATAACACCACGTCGTCCCACACACTCAACGATGGATGCAGTCGCCAACTACCTACACCAATCGATTTCATGTCACCTAAAACTTCACATAAAAGCGTTGACTGACAAAGCACGACTCTTGACTGATCCCGGACTGGATGTATCTGTTATTGTACCTTACACTGCCTATTCTGCATTTTGGCAGACGTTCTGAACTTACACTGTATTTATACTCTCAGCGGCCATTTGAAATTTTAACCAAGGCAGTTATTTTGAAAAGCAGGTGCCAAGTGAAGGTATGTGAATAATCTAGGATTATTCTTCAGGCACGAAGCCACAAAATGCTGTCCTCTCACCTGTAGTACTACTAATAAAAAAACAGACAACCTTATACAGATATCTCTCCCTGATGCTTCTGGTGAAACAGGCCTTGGTCGGACTTCGTAGTCTCCCAATCGTCAAAAATTATGCACCGTGTTGCCTCCACTTAGAGCTTTCAGTCAACCCGGCGGATTTCCTTCACGGTTCACATTTGTAAGTTCGATCCAGGTGTCAATTACTGAAGTTGACGATGAGGGTTTCCGTCTTCTCTACGGCAAAGATAGCAAAGTCGCTGTCATATTATTTCCTTCCAGTGAATACTACAAATGTCGTTGAAGTCAGTCCAGGGCGAAACATCCACGGATTGACAACCAAATCAAATTGTGACAAGCAAGGCCATAAGTGGGCGATTCTTCAACTTTCTACCACTAACGACAGGTTTTGTATATAATTCTCTTTTCTAAAATATTTATACTCCGTCTCCGAGCCTCGCTGACTTTTTATTATGCAATAATGTAAACAAACCATTCACCTGTTTGATGGTTTCAATCTCAGATGAGTTCACTCATTTATTTTCGACGCAAATACTTGAAGTGCACATAAGATGGGCAATCATCATAGAAAAGAATGACGCGACAGCTGACCTGAGAAAAGCGGTATCTTTCAGCTTTGACAGACAGTTCTTATCACAATCTCGTGCGAACCGACTGTGCGTATGTGGAATTGAAGGAGAGGAGAGGATAGAATGTTGGATTGTCCAGTAGGTGATATGGCCGCTGTTATTGCGAGCTCCTGCAATAAGTTCAGATAAACATTTCACCGGTGCATTTGGTGTGGTGCCCGTGGACTGTGGCTAGTCACACTAATTTTGTCACTCAGCCACAAGTAAAATGGACCAATGGGGTTTTTACGAGGTACACAGGTGCTGCCGTTGTTGCGGCATGGGGCATGTGAACGCCTCACTGGTTTTTTGACTGCTGCAACGGCAATATTGTGTATGTGTCGTTCTGCGTCTATGTCCATTTGGAATGGAAGACGTTGACATCATTACGAAAAATGGCTGGATTATAGTGTTGAAAGTATATGGATCAATGTTCTGGGACAACACACAGAGCAAGCAAGTAATTTTCACTATTTTGGAAGAATCTCACACTTGTGATTCACTAAAATTTGTGGATGTGACTAATCTGTGTTCATTTTCGTTCAAGAGGTGATAATGTTCTCCCTCTACCTTTGGTGCATACTGGTATCCGTAAAGACTTCTCAAGCAGCTAGGTTTATCCAAGATGGAAGTCCTTTGTTGGGTCCCCCCAGACAACTAACCCTCACAATTGCCTGTGATCCCAAGCGTCCATGTATAACAGCCAACTGGTTACCGCCGCGAATGGCTTCAGCTCTGGACACCGAAAGAAACGCGTCAACTGTTCAGTCAGTAAGTGGGATCCTGGTTGCTTATCGCGTGCGCTACGTGCTTGTTGAACCCCTTGACATAATCAACAATGAGTCTCCCAGCTTGAGCAATGGACAACCCTATCTACGTATGACCGAGAAGAACGTCACCCGTCTCCATTTTCAGACAACTGCTGGGGAGCACTGTGAGTTGGCTGAACAGATAATTTGCTTTAAAATAGATACACAGGAACAAAGTTTTGGGTATTCCTTTTTCCAGTTATTAATGTCGAATTAGCAAACTTACGATTTCGGACGCAAACGTACGTCTCACTTCTAAAGAGGAATTAATGAAACCAAATTTTTATTTGATGCATGTCATGTTCGAACAGAGCCTAACATTTGCACATCTGCATGTGTTGACGAATGATATAACGTGGCCATCTTTACAAATTTCTTCTATGGTGTGTGCAACTAAGCTACGGAACTACAGCAGTTTAAACATTTCTTGACTTGGGAACAAAGAAAAACTAAGGCGTCTGACCTCAGTGGCTCAATTTTCCAGCAAATGGGTGATCGGATCGGGAACGCCTCAGCTGCAAGAGAACTTTCCTCCTGTCTGGGACGATGGGTAAAACTGTATAAGAGAAATGAACATATGATCAGGACTTCGAAGCTCTTAGCACCTGGGCAGCGCTTCAATAAGAAGGATGGACTTTCAGATAAATACTTCTCACCATTCAACAACAATCAGGCAATCTTCTGGATCAGTTTTCAGCTTGTTTGAAACAACTTTTTCATTTCATTCAGTCATTTACCTCAGAATGAGTATTTCTTGAAAAACTATTCATGTTAGGGTGGAAACTCTTGGAAACTCTTATTGTCACAAAATTCAGATATTTGCGTCCTTAGTGAATGGTTTGGTTGGACCAAGAGAAACATCAATCAAATGCAGTTGCCCGGGACTTTCAAGGGGAAGGACTCTCACCTGAGTCTGCCACTCTTGAAACTACTCGGGTACTTTGCTTGCCGCCCAAGAGTTAACGCGACCACAATACTCAATCTTATTGGAACCATCGGTACTTCCTAAGACAATCCAGGAAAAGTAATGCGACTGTTCTAAGCCTTGCGTAAACCGTGGAGATTGAGTAGTTCGAGCTATCTGTGATAATCGGGAGGAGCCTTTGGCATGAAATTACAATTGCAAGCTAAGTATGCTTGTGGAATTAAGCTCCCAGAAATAACTACAAATTGTAATTTATTCGGTAGACATTGGCCTATTTCAAGCAACTTACCTACCGAGTTACCATGATGTCTAGCACCCATGTCATATTTTCGGTGACAAGAGACCTTATATCCTGTGAAATGTACGCGATATTCACGATATAAGTTAGATCTGTCTTGAAAAACGTATTGACCATGCGTGCAGTTTACAACATTCACACTCAGATGATGAAAATGACATGATACTATCATTTTTGTACGTTATTTTAGTGGGAGGATTTAGCACAGCTGAAAGGTGAATGCCAAATCATAAAACTGGGGAATGCTATTTAAATCCGAGTAGACAAGAACGTTATGATGGTGGACGATCAGTGCACCTGTCCTCATGTGCTTTGGGTGTGAGTACATAGTCGTTGAGAGTTATCGAGACTTAGTGAAAATTTCAAGGTGACTTGTTTGAAGGTTTTCAGGGCCGAAGACCCGCACCCAGTTTGGTGTCACTTTCCAGCTGCTGGTAGACTGCATAATGGCCTACCAACAGGATCTAGACCAATTGTAAACATATTGGATGTACGCATAGATGGGTCAAATGTCACGGGTTGAGAGCTACTCAAAAACGAACTATGTGTTATGTGGATAAGTAATGTCCGCTAAAATAGTTTAATCTGGGATGCACGACAGTTCCAAGGTCATCGTTTTGGAAAAAAGACGAATATGTTCGTTCCATTATGTAGTTTTTATTGGACCTTGTACGTTTATGGAAATAAAGGGGGACACGACAAACAGCAAACTGAATGGCTTGTTTGGAACATGATGGCTTATTTCATAATAAGTCGATCCGTATTGCGAACACTCGCAGGCATCAAGGAACAAATGTTTTGTGCCTGAAGAAAGAGAGCTCGAGAGCTTTACGTAGGAAAGCAAAAAATAACCAAGTTTCAATAAAAATATAAATGTTGGTGTTCTGAGTTGAGATCACATTTTAGTGCGGCAACTAAGAAGAAAAAACGGATGATTATTCATTCATCTCCAAGAATTAATTTAAAGAATAAGTACAACGTCTGAAACCGTAACGTGATGCCAGCAAGAATGTCCTGTATCAACGCCTGCTTCCTCCAGATCAATATTGAGGCTGAAATTGTCCAATCCAAAACGGCCTACCTGCACTCCCATCCGGCTAATGCCCATACACAGTGATTACCCTGTAACATTCAAAAGAAATAGTTGAGTCGTCTTCAGAAACGGTGTGTTTAACTACTCAACAATATGTGAACCATTCGATTCGGAAGGCCGTACGCAAACAAGTAAACCGCATAGCTTTGTATCATATATCTAATTGCTTCACTGGACAGCTGCTTTATTTTCTACCTGAAAGGATAAACCCTACAGCCTCATGAACCTTGATCCATAAAGGCCTTCTCAGGAACGTTTGGGGAGTGTGTGCATCATGCACAGAACGGTATCACGCACCTGGCTGTGTAGCATATGGACTCAATGAGGGGTTGATTATTAAGATACTCGACTCGCTATACCATCCCCATATTCTCAGGCAGGTGTATTCCGTTATTCGCCCTATCCAAGCACCTTACAAGGTACAGCCACTCAAACATTTATGAGAGTTGTACATTTGCACTACGAAAAACACGGTTCATGAGATGTGGACAACTTACTAATAGATGTAACAGTGGTAATAACACAGTAGAAACGGTGGTGGTTGAAAGTTATACAAGAAAACAAGGAAAATCGCCACGTTTCTGGTTAGGCTGTTTCAAATACGCGCAACTGAGGGGAGATGTGTTTAAATCTCATCTTGACGGATAAGCGTAGTCAGTACCATTAAGCAACCGAAAATCGCACATGCCTCAAAGGCGAACAATAAAGCTCGAAGGTCGTGATCATCCGTATAAAGGTAGAAGTCCCTACTATACTGGTTTCTCGTACGTCACTTTTACAGAAACTAACGTTGTATATTCATGTCTGTCAGCTAAGTATAGTGGTAATCAAAAATGACTATCACACACACTGCTAGTTCCAACGCTGCAGCTGATGCCTGTTGGTCAGACGGATCCCTCTACAAGCAGGCGTATTTGCCTCAAAACTTTGAAAATAGAAGATAACTTGCATTTATTTTTACGGTGGACCAAATTCCAATAACCCCGTTTGTCGTAAAAATTTGCAAAGAAAAACAGCACAATCATATCATCCTTTTAACTAGAGACTCCTCGGAATGTAGTGACACAACTGGTTAAGAATACACCAGTTGAGACTTACATTTCCGTTTTTTGGTGCGTTTGATTGTTCTCCTTTTTCTCTGAGGTCACTAAGCTCACCACATTCTCAGACTTAGCGTAGGTGATCAGATTTGACTTGCAGTTAACTAACATTTTGTGGCTAATCGTTATTTAATTAAAATTTAACCAGGATCAAGCACCCGACAATACTCACTGAAGTTAAGCACCGTGAATTCGGTCAGTCAACAGTTTGCTGGCAGAATAGCAGCCTGAAAAACAAGGTATTTGGACTTAATCCATGGTGAGGTACAACCTCTTGCATATATATCGTAGGAAGCTGCGCGGATGAAAAAAGTACGAATACGTCAAACCCGTGTTATTGGCAGTCCTGTTTTTACTTGGTTTTACTCCGTATGATTAATGAAATTCTGTCGGTCGTTTAATTGCTATTTGAATGTCAGAAACGTTTGGTAGGAGAATTTCCAAAAGACAAATTAACACCCGTTTATTTTTTCATGGGAATTTAGCATTTTAGGTTCTCATCTAAAGCGATTACATCAATGGAAGACCGTCGAGATGATCACTTTTGGCGCCTGCAACTTTTAACTTACAGTTCGCAACTCAGTCAACTAGGACTAAGGTAAAAGTGTGTTGTATCAAGTGGGAGCGTGTTACACAAATTTTTGTCTAGTTGGCATAGTCAAATATCACCATTCGCTCAGCTCTACATAAATGGACTGAAGTACGGACAGCTGTTTGGTTTTATTACAGTGGACACATTCGCACTGATAGAGCTAGAGTGCTGTTTGTATGTTTATCTGTTTCGGAACAGTGATGCAGTTCTCAGGAAGGATATGTTACTGACCTTGCCACTCGTTAATTGTGCCATTTTCGAGGAAATAGTGTAGATCCGTTCGAAAGTCTTGTTTCAACGAAACCTATCGACTTTGCCGTGTGTATGCTACGGTTGAAAATTGGACTACGGTATGCATTCTTTCATCTTGTTGACGAAACGCAAATGGTCCGCTGGAACTGGGTTGCTGACAAAAACTTACCTGTTATGTTTCAGTGTTTGGGGTCAAATATGAATTTCGTGTGGCAGCAGTCAGCAGTACAGGAATCGGTCCTGAAGTAAGCGATCGTATCGCAGTTCCAGAAGCGGGTAAGTATGTTCTATTTTGGGAGTAAACAGAGAGAGTAAACAGAGAGTAAACTGAGAGAGAGAGAGAGTAGAAGAAGTTAAACAACACAGTATGTGTGCCATTTTATATTTTTAGCAGTCGATTTACTTCTGTCAGCGTAGTGGTAATGGGAAGTCGACCGGCGTCGTTTAATTAAGCGATCCGAGCGGTGCAAACGGCTTTCCCTTTTTATCAGAGTAGCAGTTTTGCCATTTTCCAGTGTGCCGTGTTGTCTTATTATTTTCAGAGATTTACGATCAACTTGTCTACTTCAACTATGTGTAACTAATGGTTGCTGATACGCGCTGATGTAAATAGACTTTTTCTAGGTGGAAAGTGAACATGTTCCATGACTATCGGAATAAAACTAACGTGAGGAATATAATGTATGCATCCTGTGACATTTGGCTGAATTCAGTCGATAGCCAGTGAATTATAAGAATATAAGTTAATTTTGCATGAAGTGATTTAAATGCAAAGACAATCATCTGACCACTCACGTGGTTGAAGTAATCTCATCACGAGTGTTATGTGATTGGTTTCTAATAATTTCAATCTGTACAGAAAAAATAGGCGACTCGATTCTTACCTTGAGGTCTATCCTCGAGGAGAACTGTAACATTTCAGTGAACAATCATCGAAGCGCAATTTCATACCATTTTACATATGTGCAGCAATACATTTTCCGTCAATTACTTACATTTAGGGTGCCTTGCTGTGGTTGCTGTTTCCGGTAGCTTGCTGATGATATTCAACTGAATGTTTGAAGGAAAGTCAAGGTAGAATGGGACTAGAAATTAGTTTATGCAACTTTTCGACAGGGAGTTAAATCATGACTGATGTACACGAGGTAACATGAAACATCACTGTTATGTGACAAATAAGATCAGATGCAAGGAGGCAGACGTCACTTTGAGTGGGAGTGTAGGTAAATAATGGGATAACATGCATTTCCGGTATCAGCTTTTATATCATTGTTTCAGAATCACCACAGACCTAGCATATGTTATTGCGTACCGTGCTACAGTATGTTGTTCCCAGGCTCACAATGAACCTAATGTTTCCTGCTACGGATGGAAGGTTGTTCTGGGGTGCGCATATGTCAAGTCTAGATCACACCTGTAAATTACTGTGGCTTGCGATAGCCTCACTTGTTTAAACCTGCGCGACCACTTTCAATACCTTCAAACCCGTGCCAGCGTCCTGGAGTTATTTACTCTAAACGGACTCACGGGACCGTAAAAATTCTTGTACTGCTGTCAATGAGTGAATCGTTTGACGGATGCAGAAGAGTAAAGGATTTGACGCATCCCAGTTAGAAACTGCTATTATTTTTTTCGGAATCAAAATATCCGGAAAACCTGATTTTCAGCTGCTTGATCGGCCTAGTTACTGTTATCCTGTAGGCTTCCAAATGGGTCACGGTCCTGCCAACACATCTTGTGTCTTTGCTAGTGGATTTGTCATAGTATAGCTTGCAACGCCAAATGATGACTTTGGTTGAATGACCCGGCAACCTATTTTCATGAAGGAAACTACTCACAAGGTTGGTGAAAACTCTTCGACAGCCCACGACCGGTTTCACCCCTATTGGAGTTCATCAGGTGGGCGCAGTCCCCGAGTTTCGATCAACCTTATGTTCTAATTGAACCCAAATTGGACTGTTTTCGAGAAATACACTATCATAAACGAGAGATTCAGTTGAGTCTCTCGTGAAAACCAAATTGATTTGCAAATTAGTTTATTTCTCGAAGACCCGACAGCCTGTTTCACGGTTTACACACCCTCTCCCCCCTCCCGACATGTGCCACTGGCGGGTGGACTGGAGTAGTCGCGAGTTCCGATGTGTCGCTCAGTGAGGCAACATCCTGTGTTAATTAATTACTGCACAATCCAAGCAGTCGGTCGCGTTCAGCGTTTACACGTCTGACACCACGGCGTCCGACAACTCGCAAGAAATTTTGGCCTAAAATGATCAATGCACTGAGGTTTATCCATGATGTGTGTTTTCAGAATGCAAAGGGATGGAGTGTTGAGTTGTCAAATTGTTCTCCTCTTTTTCCTTCTTTTTTTGCGTAGATTATTTTTGGACTCTATAGGCTGACTATGGGCAGACGGAAAAGACATACAGGTCCTAGGCACAGTAGGTCGAGAAGCGGTTGATTCTATGAAAACTCAAAGCAAACATTATCTTGAGGCGGTCAAAGGATCCAAAAAACATTTTAATCTTTGGTGGTCGTTGGCCTGTTCGCTGAGCTGGGCAATTTGATTGCAAACGTTTCATCACCAATCGAGGTGACATCATCAGTGCGTCATTGTGGAGCGTAGCGGTGGGTTGGTGGGCAAAGCATCATAGACAGTTAAGGACTGATTCTGGTTATTGGCGATCGATGTCGATGTGAAACGTTTTGCTCAAAGGTGACTTGGTGGCAGGTAGACAACCTGCGTTAAAACGCGACCCATTACGTCTAGACTAATACGCCATCGAAAAGTATTCAGATGCTCCAAGGAATCGTGTGTGCGAGCTAAAGTCTCCGGGATCACGACCGTGTTCGAACTCTTCGTGGTGTACATATGGGTAGTTCGTTCACGAGAGAATGTATTTCATGCTAATTTCCAGCTACAATCGGTTTGATCACTGGCAGTGCTCATGGAAGTTGACAGTCGGCAAGCACAGACTTGGCTGTATACGAGAAAATACTGGGGTGAGGAAGCGCCAGTATATGAGCTAACAGCAGTACCAGCAGAAGCACAATCTGTCGCTGGATTTGCGGTCAGCAGAATTTCGTGGTCAGTAGATTTTAGACAGGGAAGATGTCTTAGTAAAACAAAACACGCAAAAGCTAGTGAGTTCGTTCATGAATTCGTGCTTTAAAGGCTAAGGTAGGGGAAAACTAAACGATGGATGAGTGATGACGTGAAGTTGATCAGTTAAGGTAGACAAAAGATTGATTATTAAGGAGGTTAGAGGAAAATTTACGAGCTAACCATTAAGAAGGATCAAAGGCGTTCACGATAGCTTCGTTTTACGTATTCTTCTTTATGTCTGCAGTGAACTGAACGACGATGATCGGCGTAACACAAAGGTAGATTTTTACAATTAATTTTTGTATGATGCTGAGATACCGACAGGATGCCACGACTCAAAAAGGAGGTCAAATAATACCTTCGAACAAGTCATTGCCGGAGTAGGTTTTCTAATGAACAAGTTGTCACAGATGTTCCAACCCCCCTGGATGTCCAGAAAACATTTTCCAGAGCACAATTCATAGATTAGGCTGATTGTTTTTTCTGAAGACTTGTCCCTCAAGATTGTTCAGTGTATTGTTAAGGTGATAAAATACGCGATAAAGCGCAGTCTTGTTTGCACTGTGAATAGATTTGGGAATTCCGATGGAGATTTCCTCTTTAAGTGAAGCCATGTTGAAAAGCCGAGAAGCACCGTACAGCTGGTTCATCCTAATTGGGGATCATGAGCTGTGCACATCTCGTGAAACTCCATAGAGTCTTCAGCCCGCGACCTCTCCACTAGTATTTCGAACACTAAACCGTTCGGCCACCAGCGGCTGATCAGTAGTGTAATTAAGTCGCACTTCGACAAGATATAGTGCCGTTCATCTTTCAATCCCGGGGTCCACATCACGCGGTCACACGTGTTGACTGGCTCCTAAAAAACAGCAGTCTCTGCTAAAACTTTAGTTCTAAAGAGAGATTCATCAAGGTTTATTCGAACTAAATTGGAGTTAATAGTTCAATTTTACCTTGTGGTATCAGACATTGACGGCGAGATTTTCACCCTTTGAATAATGTGCCACATGGGTTTACTCTTAGCAATCCATTCCAAGTTGGTGACTAAATGAGTTGAAAATGCTGGTGGCTCTTCCAGTCAACGGTATTGTTGTTGATCACCTAAGGGAGATGCTTTGGATCTCTTGACGGAAAACTTGCGGAGACCCACATTAATTGCTCAGCCTCGGGATATCAAGCAGAGGCGTCATCTCTCTCAAAGTGCAGGTTGAAATCCGCATCAGGAGCGAATTATTGGAAATTTCCGTTTCCATGTGAACACTTACATGCGCAGATAAGAAATCATACTTCGATTCACCTGGTGCCCGGCGAAGCGGGCTAACTTTCGCAACCAACCCTACAAGATTCTATGTGAACCGGTCTTCTCGATTCACGTTTTCAGGCTGGTGACTTCAGCACATTTAGCCACAGATTCGAAAATTGTGATGAATAAGTTTAAGGTAAAATAATACACTAATCGACAAGTATGTATCCATTTTAGCTGCTTTTTGGCATCCTGAAACTGTATTTAATGCTGCTTATCCGGTTAGTCGGCAAGGTCGCCGGAAATTAATTGCAGAATATCCGTTACCTCAGGGTTTCGCCGTAGAAATAACTGTTTACCGAATCGGAAAACGTGTTTTCTGACAGTTTCAAGGCCTCCAACTTCGTGACTTAGTCTGCAGGTGAGTTCAAACAGATTGCAAAATGTATTAACAGGAACAAAGCTGTCTGACAGTATATGACCAGCGAAAAATCTCACGGCCCTCGAAGATGAAATTAGCTGTTCTTTGCTTTACGCGTTTGGGGTCTGCGGATCTTGATGCATACAACCACTGCTAGCTGGGCCACTGCTGACAGTATTGCTGCCACTTCTGCTGGTGTAGGTCTTATCGGAAAATCCTCAAATCTGCTCACACTACCAACAACAGGTATTGTTCATCTGTGCAATGTCAATATCAATCGCGGGCAACTTAATCTGGGTTATTCTGAAAAGGCGTTTGACTCGATGTGTCTAATCGATCTATATTGATTGATTCAGCTCTCGGGTTTTCCAGCCCGAGATGTGAACTTTCATATTATGTCAGTGGATGTCACTCATTCGCTTTTCGCATTCCGCTGTTAGTTTTACGAAGAACCTGCTCATTGTGAGCACCAAACCCATCAGTGATCCGTGATAAGTAGCTAAGTAAAGTGTCTAAGCAAAGTTGCGAAATATCCTCCAAGCCTCTTTTTAACCACGCTATTGCTTGTCTATCGTTTTGCATCTAGTGATGCCAATCTATCTGAAAAACTGATATGAGAATTCCCTCAGATATTTTGGTGCATATTCGTTCAGATAAAACACAGTTGGGTGCCTAGCCGCCATGTAGCTCCAGGGGGCGTGAAGGCTGAGTTGGTGTCAGGTTGCCAAAGCCTAGACAAAAGCACTTGAAATGCCGGGGTTAGGTTCGAATCACAGACATCCTGTTAGGTGAGTACGTGCCTCAGCCATAGAGCAGTTTTTAGCTCTTTGTTCCACATTTCAATCCATCAATACAATGATTTGGCCCTGCAGTGCTAGGAATCTCAACCAGCAAGCTAAGTGTACTGATCTTAACCCTATTAGGCGTCAAAAGATGTTTTTAGGAGAGTGACTTTTTAGGAGTTAGCGGGTATCAGTTATCAGATGTCTCTCAAAAATATATCGTAGTAGGGCGAAATGACTACGCTGTAGCAATATAACTACTTCTATGGCACATTGAATAAATAATTTTTGGCTCAGAAAACTTCACTAAGAAGTTATTTACATAACTGGCTACCAAGAGATTGGGGCGTCAGTGGGTGGGTTATTCAACTACGTACTTAGTTAAGGATTTGTATAATTGACAAGTTATTTGGTAATTCATTTACTTAGTTTTGTTAATTATAGGTTAGTTAGTTAGTTAGGCAAAATACTAGGGATACTGCCACTTCTAGTTGTTTTCTTTCACTTGAATCACTGGCGGCAATCTTGAAATACACAGAAATGACACCGATATTTTCGGCTGTAACCGCATGAGCACCATATGTGCGATTAGTCCTGAAGATTGTGGGCATAGAGAGTTAATTTGGCTTAAGAAGTGAACTGAGATGATGACAAAGGAAGTAATTCATAAAAAACGCTAGAAAACATGTTGGAGATCGTCGGCAGTCTTTTTTCTTAAGTTTGTGAAAGCTTTCAATGTTAATCATAAAGGTTGAACTCATTCCAGAGCGGCTGGATTCCAAACAATGTTATCCACTGTTTGAAGTCCTAAAATCTCGGCTGCATTAGGGAACACTATTTCTCGAGATGATGTCAAACAAGCTACTTTTCAACGCTTTTTCCAGTTCCGTCCAAAAGAAGAACAAAAGTTGTACTCATAACCTCCTTTGGGTTCTTGTTTCTTGAATGGATTCGAGATCAGTCGGTAACAATTTAAAGCCTTATGTACCAAGCGATGAAATTAACATGCTGTATCCTACGACTGTACCAAATGCTTATTGTCTCTTCTCTGCAAGTGAAACAATTGAATTGTCCCATTACTTAATGGAGCCTATCCAAAGTGGGATTTCCTTGAGCAAGATGCAGTCCCTAACCAGATGTTAGACGTTGGTGGAGCAATAAATAGGACAACATCATGACGGAGAATAAACAAACAGGTCACCTATTGCGGTTCTCCAACTAGAGTCAGATTACTTCGAAAGTGTGCAACTCCAGTCGGTGCAGGAGGTGGCAGCTGGACGCCGAAATGTTTACATGGGTACAAAAATACTACACCAGCTCAAACAGTTTGCCTTCCAGTCTGTCAGCCGTCCACCAACAAAAAGAAAAGTCCGCACACATTCTGGTACCCACTGGGATTTAGGGTGTTATGTGTGGATTGGAAACTGGGGGTTTGATTATATTATCTGGCGGCGTAAGAGAAATCGTGCTAGGCAGTTTTTAGCAAATCTTTATGCGTTGTCCAAACATGAGACTTGAGAAGCGCGTAGTAAGCAACAATTGACTGAAGCCTTACAAAAATGCACAACTGTGAACTTTAACTTGAAGTGCTTTTTCCAAAACGTGCTGGTCCTTCTAGGGTTACGGCCCTTGTACGACAATTTTTGATGTTTCATCAGCGTAGTTGTTTTGCAGGATGCGATTTATGGCCAGCAAAACTCGGATTCAACAAGTTACAATGGGAGTTTGTAGACGGACAGCAAGAAAACTGCAGACTTTTTAAGGGTGGTTTGAAACCTCGATATGCGACCATTCGTTTAGAACACTGAATGAAGAGGGTGCAATACGTCAGAGTATTAGGGTCAT